TTTGAACTAAAATCATTACATTTATTTACAAAAATTTGTTTTAAACTTTGACTTCAGTTGAAAAAATGCTATAAAAAACTGTATTTTTTGTTGAATTAAGCCTTTTGTAAACTATTGTTTGTGGATTTTGAGTTTTTCATTAATAAACAATAAAGAAAATATCGATAAATGTAACAATTCTTGTTTTTGAAGAAAATTTTTGAACCAAAATCATTACATTTATTTACAAAAATTTGTTTTAAATTTTGACTTGAGCTGAAAAAATGCTATAAAAAACTGTCTTTTTTGTTAGGTTCAGCCTTTTGTTGACTATTGTTTGTGGATTTTGAGATTTTGGGTATTCCATTAAAAAAATTAATGAAAACATCGATAAATGTAAGAAATCTTGATTTTGAAGGAAATTTTTGAACCAAAATCATTTTTTTTATTTACAAAAATCTGTTAAGCTTTAACGTAAGCTCAAAAAAATGTTTGCGGATCTTAAGAATTCCGAATAAACTATAAAAACTGCATTTTTTTTGTTAATTTCAGTCTTTATGGAACTTTTTGTTTGAAATTTTTACACAGAAATTACTTAAAAAAGTTTTTTCCCAATTTTGACGTGATAAAGATGTCCAAAGAATTGGCTGAAAAATGTTTCTTTACAAAAAATTTAATGTCTGAATATAAATGCAGGATGAAGAGGAAAATGGTGACGACATAAAACCCGACGTTTCTGTTTTAAACAAGGCGATTAAACCAAGTTGGGATCATTGTGCAAACGCTTCCAAGAAAGAAAAAAAACCGACTTACAATCCCTTGAGTCGTAATCCACTTTACGCTGGTGGAGATTTTTGTGCATATACAGAATTACTTGACTTGAAAAAACATTTTCATCCAACTGTTTCCCTATATGCTACAAATATATTAGATGGTATTTATATTTAAAAAACAAAGGGTTTGTACCACTGAGATGATTTTTTTCTAGGAAATATAATTAAATATTCCGGGGATCCTCTAAAAGACTTTACTTTGATCCGATTTCTAGATCGATTTGTTTTTAAAAATCCGAAAAAATTCGAAGAAGGGACAGTTCAAGGGGCACACCCAACATTTGGTAAAAGAAAAATGTATCATCCTAAAGGTTTAAAATCGTTGCCTGTAAATTCCTCAAGTTATTTGAATGAAAGTTCTAAGAATATTCCTGTTGATGAGATGTTTATGTACAGGTAAAAAATAGCATTTTGTTGTTTTTTGGTGGTCAAATTTTGTTGTCTAGTTATTTGCAAAGGAAACACAAGGAAAAGAAACGCGTTTCTGATAGTGACGATAGTGATTTGGAATCAGTTCAAAGTGAAGAATTTGAAGAAATGTTGGATAAAATGGCTGGTATTCCTAAAGAGGATGATGAAGATTTGGACTTTTTAAATGATGTTGGAGATAAACTCAAACCAAAAAGCAAAAATCAAAAGGGTAAAAATGATGATAGTGGGGACGATGACAGTGATACAGAGGATATTTCTGATGATGAATTGTCCATAGAAGACGATGAAGATGACCTTGAAATAAACGATGAGGACAAAAGTATAACTTTCACAACAAAAACACACAAAATAACTTGTTTTGTTGCAGTGCTTTTAGACGATTTAGATGACGATGAAGACGAAGAAGTCGTTTTTGACGATGACGAAGAACCAAAATCAAAAAAGAACACAAATTCTATATTTGCATCAGCTGAAGAATTTGCCTCTTTACTTGATGATGAAGGTAGTTCAAAAGTCGCCCCAGGTAGTTCAAATGCGTTATCAAATAAGGATAATGCAAGTATTAAACAACTTGCGTGGGAACAAAATAGAAATAGGTGGTTGAAAGGATTTAATGAAGCTGTTGGTAAAAACAAAAATAGTAAAACTGGGAGTTTTGGGAAGAAGAGAAAAGGTCAAAATAGATTTGATACAAAAACAAAAAAGAAGAAAAACAAGTAATTCACAAGGAGTCAGTCTTGTTACCGTATTTTAATCAATATAATTTTAAAAATATGTTTTGAGTTTATTTATTTAAAAATCTGTTACGCCTGTCACAATTTATTTATTCATAATTTTAAAATACTTACTGTTGCACTCAAAAGTCACAAATTCACACACTTCACTTTTCAATCAACAGGAAAATAAAAAGTAAAAGTGTACTAACTTTTATGGCATCTTCTTCTGCTACCATTTGTAGCAATTCGTCTCTATTTCTTAAACGGACCTACTGAAAATTAGTTTAATGTGTTACTCATATTAAATCAGTTGAAAATATTAAATACAATTTAAAAGTAATTTTTCTAAAAAATAAAAAAATATTGCTGACTTAGCTTTTAATGCGGATCTTTGTTACACGATTGCGTTCTCCATTCCCCCATTGGCACCCACTAATAACTCGAAATATCGCGCACTACTAAATGTCTATTAGGCACTCGAAACTATCCGTTTCTGATTTTGAGAAACCGAATGTACTATACAGGGTTATTCATAAATATGAAGCATTATTTGAACCTCAAAAATGACCCATAAAATGATGTTAATTTAAATAATAACTCGTGTCCTGATAAGAATTTTACAGCCCTCGGAATGTGGGTATGGAAATTTGATTTTTTTGTAGTAACTTTGAAACTATTTGACCAAATATTATAAAATTTGGAACATTTCGCTGTGACAACATACCCTTTGAACTGATAATCACAAAAACCGGATACATCCACTCAATTTCCGGTTCCAGCAGTTGCAGGTCACATTTTCTGTGTTTTTCCATTTTTTTGCTCTCTTAACACCAATTTTTTATTGCCCAAATAGATAGAGTAATCAATTTCGAATAAAAAACGCATAACCTTTAATACCCCTAAAATGGGCCGTTTCAAAGATATTTTAATTTAAACTGAGGACTGCACAACGCTGATATCAAAAAATTGGGATTTTGAATAAGTGGTATCCACAATGACCATGCTAATCTGTGCTTAGGGGAAAACATTGATGTTTTAGTATCTCCTATAAAGAAAAAGAATTCTGTGTTACACTGGATTCCAGTAACAAATTTAATGCCAAAACGCCCCTTATTTAGTACTATTGTGGTGCACAGTTGTATTGTTGATTGCATAATTTAGTACGACCTATCCTTGTTGTACATAACCTCAAATTTGTGCTCTTTGATGTTTCTTTATTATTGTATACAATAGTGCATAAAACACAAGTAAGTAATTGTTGTTACTTAAAAATGGTGTGCGAAAAATGCCAGAAGAAGTTGGGCAAAGTAATAACACCAGATCCTTGGAAAAGTGGGGCTAGGAATACAACTGAATCAGGGGGTAGGAAAGTTAACGAGAACAAGGCTTTAACTGCTACGAAAAACAGATTTAATCCATACACATCAAAGTTTGAGACTTGCAGGTAAGTAACAAGTTAAAACCAGTTTTGTATTGTCGTTTTTTTGTTTTAGAATTTGTCGACAAAAGGTACACCAGGTTGGGTCACATTATTGTCAGTCCTGCGCTTATAAAAAAGGAATTTGTGCGATGTGTGGAAAAAAATTGTTGAGTACGAAGAATTATAAGCAGTCGTCTACTTAAATACTATTTTATAAGTTTATTGCGTTGTTAAGTAATGTTAGGTTTAATTCAATATACTGTATGCAGAATGAGGGTGCTTTTATTTCTGGTAGTATTACCTAATGAAATGACAACTCACACAAATGTTATTCTTGTTAAATCATCACATTTTTTATAGTACTTTATCACTCATCAATTAGTTTTTTCAAAAAATATATAGTTTAAGCAAAAAACGTTTGGTTCCATACTTTTTATTCACCTGGTATATCGATGTTCTGTGACATCGATGTAATATATATCACCACAAAACATGGATACATCGAAAAAAAAATCATTTACCAATATTTTTAATAATAAATTTTTGGAACATAAAAAATACAAATGCAAACACATTTCTTACAATTCTTGCATAAGACAAACAAATACAAACACAAAACGTCATCATCGTTAATTTTGTTAAAAAACATCGAATTCTCCATACATCGAACTTAAAATTTTTGGAATGAAATTTTAAAATTAAAAATAATCAACTGAACCAATTTCGATGTATCAAAGTAAAAACATAGATATTAAAAAAAATACTTACACATTTTTAAATCAATGTTTTTATATCGATGTTCGATGTTTGAAAAACATCGATATTTTTTGTCCATCTCAATCAACGCAGACGACGGATTTAATTTATTATTGAAATTGCCAGTTTGTTAAATGTTTTTTACACCATAAAAACAAATTGGTATCTGTTGAATCGAATTGTAATTAAATTGAATTGGTAATTTGTCTTTGTTACAGAAACATCAACAAGAACAAAACTAAATATTGTACGAATCTAATTTTACAAACTTTTCTAACTCTGGTCCTGGAATCGTTTCAAATATCATTCCTTCGACTTTTCAGGAATTCGAGAATTTTGGATTCTATGTCAAATGTCAACTGTCTGAGAGCGTCTGACACTTTCGTACATCCCGGAGGTATTCCTGTCGCTGTGTGTGGTAATTTTTAAATAAATCAGTGCTCTTAATTTCCCTCAATTTAACCAAACTCTCCTTGTGTAAAAACCTCCAACCTAAATGACCCTAATTTCAAGTGCAATTGGATGTGTTCATCGCAGAATATAGTGCTTTCGTGGCCTTGTGCAGTCCTATCATTTTGACACACACCCATAACTTTTTAATCAAGATATAAAAGACTGCACTTTAGCAGAATTTCATCAAAATGCAAGCGATAAAGTGCGTGGTTGTGGGTGATGGGTAAGTGTCCTATATTTCTGTTTTTTATACCCAAATTTGGTAATAAAGACTCGATGTAATCTTTACGTCATTCGTCCCTTAATGAGTTGAAGTGGGATGGGCAACTTGACGTCTGTCGGTGATTAAGCCAAGTTGTAACCTTTATATCACTTGTAGCTGAAGCAGCAATTAATACTAAATAATTACAAATAAGTTTTATTGTAATGTAAACAGTGATTCATATTAGTTTTATCGTCTTTGCGATGCTAAAATCGGCCTGGGTGTGGGTCTGAATTTGTTTACTTTCGGAAAAACACACAAAAATTGGATTTCTACCAATCTGTTATTTGTTTATTGATTATCAACTTGCCATTGATAAAGTTTTCATATTAATGTGCATCGAAGTAGTCGTTGCAAGGGGTGGCAACCATGCGAAAATTTAATAATCCTAACCTCAATCTTAAAAATTATTTTTGTCAAAAAATAATTAAAACTAACAACGTAATTGATTTTTGTCATTATTGATGTGATTTTTATGTGAATTGGCCTTAAATTAAAGATGCATTTAGACTTGTACAACCTACTTGATCAATCACTGTGTGATATGATGATTCCTAAACTTTGGAGAGGTCGGGAAATTGTCATTACATCTCATGGTTGGGAAATAATTTATGAAGGATTGCCATGTAACATTTTTCAGTGCTGTTGGTAAAACATGCCTCCTCATCAGTTACACAACAAATGCCTTCCCGGGCGAATATATCCCAACTGTTTTTGACAATTATTCAGCCAATGTTATGGTAGATGGGAAACCGATCAATTTAGGCCTTTGGGATACAGCAGGTCAAGAAGATTATGACAGATTAAGACCACTTTCCTACCCACAAACAGATGTGTTCTTAATTTGCTTCTCATTGGTAAATCCAGCATCATTTGAGAACGTTCGAGCAAAGGTAAATAAAAAAAAAAACAAACTAAACAACTCTTAACATAAATATTTCAGTGGTATCCTGAAGTTAGACATCATTGTCCCAATACCCCAATCATTCTAGTTGGCACAAAATTGGATTTGCGTGATGATAGAACCACAATTGAGAAATTAAAAGACAAGAAACTTACACCTATCACATATCCACAAGTAAGATATTACCGACCTTCAGTGTTGCCATATCAAAAACATAAAATTCACCAGATCCGAGTTGAAAAATTTGCCAAATTTTCACCAGATTACGATTTGTGTGCCAAAATCTCGCGAAAAAACGCAATTTTTATCAAAAGTAATGTAATTTTAGACTTAATTTCTTGATTTTTTAGTTTGTTTTAACGAAATCTAGCAAAACAACCTGAGATTTTAGTACAAAAACTTGGTTAAAAGCATTTTCGGCCGAATTTTGTGTTTTCTCGGCCTATTTTTGTCTTATTTTGCTCAAGACCAGTTAAATCTAGTGAGACAAACAAAATAACATCAATATCAATCTTTTTTGTGATTTTCAGGCGTGTTTGGGCAGGATTTTGCAAAATAAATGAACCTCTGGTTCAAAAACGAAACAAGCTAAAAAATTATATCAATTTCGATTTAATTTTGTAATTTTTTTAGCCTGTTTATATATTGCATTATATTTCGAACTTTTTGTGTTTTTATCTCTCGCAGTTTTTATTGGCTATTTTGTTGAATTTGGCTTGTTTTTGACAAAATTTTGGAAAATAATTTTGTTTCTAGTTAAAAAAGCATTTGAAAAAAAAGTTGTCGTTTTCCACTGTTTAGGAATATCTAGTAAAAAACAAATATAACTATTTTTAACCAATTTGATGGTTTTGATTTTTTTTTTCTTCGAGAAAATTGGACGAAATAATCAAGTTAATGCTTAGGTAAAAATAGCATAATATATATTTTTTTATAACAATTTAGTGATTTTTTTACAAAAAAATCTATTTTGAAAAAAAAAGATAATTTTTGGCCTAATTCTGTGTTTTTTGGCTTGTTTCTAACAATATTTTACGAAATAATTGCGCTTCTGAAAAACGTACTAAAACTCTCAAGAAATGAAAAATTAATGTAATTTTCGACTTAGTTTATTGATTTTTCAGTTCGTTTTAGCTAATTTCTCTGAGATTATAGTACAAAAACATGCTTAAAAACATTCTCAACTTATTAAATAATTAATTGTTTTTGTGATTTTGGAACGTGTTTGGATAAGATTTTGTAAAATAAATGAGCCTCTGGTTCAAAAACGAAGGAAGTCGGGCGAAACAAGCTAAAAAATTATATCAATTTTGATTTAATTTTGTAATTTTTTTTATCATGTTTCAATGCAATATTTCGAACTTTTTGTGTCGCCGTTTTTTTGGCTATTTTGTTGAATTTGGCTTGTTTTTGACAAAATTTTGGAAAATAATTTTGTTTCTAGTATTTGAAAAAAAAAACAAAAAAAAGTTGTCGTTTTCGACTCTGTTTGGGAATATCTTGTAAAAAACAAATATGTATTTTTTCGAAAGTTGAAACTTTTACAACCAAAATAGATTCAACATTATATAAAATATTTGTAAATCAGTTAGTGTGAGATTTAAAAAAATTAATAAATTTTGACAATATTTGAGCGGCAAAGCCGGAAGCCCCCCTATAAATTTTGACAAAATCTGATATTCTCCAATAGTCTTCCTCACTATCTTTTGCAACACGATGTTTTTAAAAAGTCTCGATTGACATTTCTTTAGGAAATTTTTAAATGCTTTTTTGCAAGTCTAGAAATACTGACTAATTTTTGAGACTCTGATTTTACTCATTTCAAATTAATTGCATTAATTAGAAGTTGATATACCTAAGCTGTATTCTGCACTCGATTTGCGAACATTCATACAAATTTAAAAAATATCTAATGCAAAATTGTATTCTGGAGCGCGAGTTCTGGCGCACCTGGTATAACTATTTTTAACCAATTTGAAAAAGATAATTTTTGGCCTAATTTTGTGATTTTTGGCATGTTTTTAACAATATTTTACGAAATAATTGCGTTTCTACCTGAAAAACGTGCTAAAACTCTCAAGAAATGCAAAATTAATGTAATTTTCGACTTTGTTTATTGATTTTTCAGTTTGTTTTTGTCTAGCTAAATCGAGTGAAATAAGCAAAATAAATAATTGTTTTTGTGATTTTGAAACGTGTTTGGATAAGATTTTGTAAAATAAATAAGCCTCTGGCTCAAAAACGGGCGAAACAAGCTAAAAATATAATTTTGTTATTTTTTTACTTGCCTTATGTAAATTTTTAGAATTTTCCTTGTTTTTATCTCAAAAACGTGCTTCAACACCTGAAAAGTGCAAAAATAACGCCGGTTTTGGTCGAATTTTTGGACCGTTTTTAAGGAAATTTGGCGAAATAATTGTGTTTCTAGCTGAAAAAGACAAAAAAAATTGTTATTGTCACCAAATCACCAGACTAATATGAAAATCACCAGATCTAGTGAAATTTTTGTTGCCATGACGATGAAAATGGCGGGTGACTTGATCGACGAATCAAACTTTTTGAAAAATGTGTTTGAAATGAAATACTTTCCAGCTCGGTGTGTAATATACTATTGTTGATATGTTTCAGGGTTTGGCGATGGCGAAAGAAATCAGCGCTGTTAAATACCTAGAATGTTCAGCATTGACGCAAAAAGGACTTAAAACAGTTTTTGATGAAGCGATTAGAGCAGTTCTTTGCCCTGTAATGCAAGTTAAACCTAAACGTAAATGTGTGTTATTGTAAAAATTCTAATTCAGATAATTATGTCTATGCTTAGACAAAAGTTCGTTTATTGCCAGAGTTATTTAGTTTGACTACTGTTTGATTTTGCAGAAATTCTGAAACATTCATTTTTGAAAGAAAGGCCAATGAAACGGATAAATATTACTATTATGGATAAATGTGATTAATTATTGTTTTCATTTTTACATTAGATATAGAATAGTAATTATCATTACTGTGAACGTTGATTAATTAATACCTTTGCATTTATATTGTTAGGGACAAGAGTTGCCGTTTCATGTTTTAACAGGTTTTGATTAGTTTCAATCGCAGTTTATTTATTTCAATTGAAGGTTAGTGTAACATATTTTAAAAATTTGATCTCTGAGGAGAGAACTCTTGATGCTTTAGTAGTTTGCATTGGAGTCACACGTTTCAAAGTATTAATTATATAAGGAAAGTGAGGATTTTACATAGTTTCAATTCTGGAAAAATGTCAGTTCAGTGCTAGCCTATATAAATTTTAGATTTAGTTAATAATTGCAGTTGTTATTTTATACATTGTTTACTGTACAGTTTTTTACTTAGTGTAGAAAACCATTGCTTTCCAGTCTATTGTCAAAGTTTAAGGAAAAAAATATGGTATTTAAATATACTGGAAGGCTCAATATAATGTAAATAAGCTTGAGAACCCCTATGTTAATTGTTTAGCATTTTAAATTTTATTAAAGTTCTAATTGTAGCTATAACCGAGAATATGTTCTATATTTTTGTAATTCCTTGCTTTTTAATTGTCTAAGCGTAACAGTAAGTGTTTCTGTGCCGGGTGGAAAACATTCTTTACACTCTTGATGTTTTTGTTGGAACGCCAGTACATTTACTAATTAAATGGATAAGTGTGTGATCATGTCATAACAGGACTGTGTGTATTTTGTAAATATTATAGAAAATTATAAGTGAAGATTTATAGAATAAATAATTACGACTAATTTGGGTTTTAAAATTTGGCCTTTATTTAGACAGTGGGTTGAGGTTAAAAAACATGTTTACAAAAGAAAATTGGAATGTAGAGTGCTCTAATAATGAATTTCAAGACGTAAAAGGCCCCTGGGAGTCCCCACCTAAAGTAATAGGGAGCAAAGGTGCAATCCTGGAGTAAATTAAACAATCAAATTAAAAAATGGCGCTTTTTTTAGACATTTGACAGTTCATGTTCGAGGTTATGGCAGGGTTGCCAGGTTTAGGAATTTTGCCCGAATCAAGGGATTTTTAAACTGTCTTAGGGATAAAGGGATTTTTTAAGTTTTTTACACAAAATCTAGGGATTTTTTTAGAATAAAAAAAATTGAAGAAACGTGACACGAGTTAATAGGAATTATGAAGATCACTATAATTTTTCGGGAGGGAATTACCGTTTATTTAACACAGGTAAATCCAAAATAGTTTTAAACAAGAAAATACGTAACTCCCGAACTCCTCATTAATTACTTATACGAAAGTATAACCTGTACAAAAAAATTGTTAAAAGTTTTGTGCATTTGTGTAAATTGGAGTGTGTTAATAACAAATTTATCAAGGTATGTGTGGCAGTTTTATTATATTTCTAATTTTTAAACTTTTTTAAAAAATTCGAAAATAAATTGTCCTGTTTTTTATTTATTTAAATGGCATCAAAACCATCATCTTCCAAAGACATCGAAGAATATTTTTCATGAGAAGAAGCTGTAGCTTTGAAGCAAACCAAAACGTAAGAAATAATTTTTTCTACAATTAATTTAAATAAAACCAAAATTCGAAATAAACTTTCAGTGGAAACATTAAATGGTTTTCAGCAAAGAAAAATGTTGCTAAAAGATAACAATTGTTTTATTGTTTTTTATGTAGTTTTATACTTTTAATTGTATATATTCTTAGTTTTTCTATTATTACGAATTATTATTATATGTAATTTTTATTAGTTTCTGTTTTCTTTAGTTAAATTAATAATATGTATTTAGTTTGTTCAGAATATATTTTACATTAATTGAGAAAGTTATGTTTCATTTGTTATATCATTTGTTTAATCAAAAATGTTTAAATAAACTTTTTTTGAAATCCTTATTTTGTTATGCAATCCAATAAACACCTAAAATTTAAATGGATTTGGCAATGCCTAGGGATTTTTGACAACTAAATCTAGGCACTACAAAAAATTCACTTGGCAACACTGGGTTATGGTAATATTATTATATACCGTGCCATCAAAAATAGAGTAGGCGTCGATTAAATTCTACAGTTGGCAACACATTGGCTGGGAATCTGGGCTGGAAATTTTCCACACAAACTGAAAGTGAAAATGACCATTCACAGTTTTCGTCTTGTACGGCAATAAAAATTTTCTGCTTTAACATTATTTCACTTAAAAGGAATAAAACGCAAACTTGTCAAAGTTTCCGCTAACATTTGATGTCAAAAATCAGAATTGCCATCTGAAGGACTCTCTACTCTAATTTTTTTTTTTTTAATCGCACGGTACAAGGAATGGAAGAAAATTGAGATGTAGCGTGCTTTGGTGATGAATTTAAGCAAATAAAAGACCCTTGCGAGGTCACACCTGAAATAATCGAGAATCTTTGTGATCAATTGAGTAAAAGTGAACTAAACTGTTGAGTGTTCAAATTTGGCGCTTGATATTTGACAGTTAAAGTTTGAGGTTATGTAACTATGTTTACAAGAGAATGGACGAAAATTGGGATGTAGAGTGCTCTGATGATGAATTTAAAGACGTCAAAGGCCCCTGGGAGCCCCCACCTGAAATAATAGAGAAGCTTTACGATCAGTTGAGTAAAGGTGAAATTCCTGAATTAAATTGGAAATGTCCTGGGTACCGTTCCCCCTCTCCGGAAGTAGAGGAGCCCCCACCGGTTGAAGTCGAACAAAAACAGTAATTTTAATTTTTGTATGTAATTCTATTATTTATTTTTCTCTATAGGACTGAAGATAAGTCCGATTTCGATTTTATGGATGAAACGACATCTCCACGACTGAAAATTCGAAATAAAGGAGAGGAAGCACTGAAAGGTAGCGCCAAGAAAAAGACAACGTCTTTAGACGGTGTTATTAACAATATGAGACGGCATAAACTTATACCACAACAAGGCAATCACTAGTTCATAAATCTAGGAACTTTATTCAGAAATTAGCACAATTATGTATTGATTCATAAAGAAATAAATATAATTTTAATGATAGAGTTATAAGCGTAGTCACGTAGAAATTGTGATTTCTATCTTTGTGGAGCAGGTTTTGGTTTAGGCATTTTGCTCAAAAGTCCTTGAATTTCTTTCTTTTCATCATAAGTCTTCCACAGTTCGAATAAATTAATGACATATCTAGCAATTTCTTGAATTCTTTCAATGTCTACATTTAATTCAGCAAACCAAGCTTTGTGATCCTTTTGTAAGATAACACATGCTATCTGAAGACAACCAATTGCAATTTGATATGGGGGATAAAGTAAACAAACATCAGTTCGAAGAGAATCGTTCACTATCCTCCAAGCTAGAGTTAACAGTTGGTCTTGTTCTTGACCCATATCTTGTACTAGTTGTAAAAGAGGTCGATAAGGCTGATAGACAATTAGGCAACAATCGAGATTTTCTAACAAATAGAATTCACACTCTAAAATGTGATTTGTGCGATATGGAAACTCTTGAGTGTAAGCGTAACTAAATTTATTCTTAACTGAAATAAAATTGTTTAAAACATTGTTTAAAACTGTTGAATTAACTTACTAACTGTCTGACACGTTGTAATTAATCTAGAATTAGAAATTACCCCAAATTCTTCCACTTTGGAAGCTAGAAAAATGCAAGTAGGGGCCAACAACAATGGATCTATACATTTGAGTGAATTTTTCGCATAAAATCGTTTAAAATACACAGTTGCAGTTGCGATAACTTGTTGACGTAGTTTCAACTGTTCACCTAGAGTTTGTATAACTGAAAAAAACTATTAAGAAATGTAATCTAAACTAATTGAAATATTACCACTAGCAAAAAAAATAAATATTTTTTGATACTCATCTTCAGTGAGCACTTGAAGATCATGTTGGCGCTCCCTTATTAAATCCTGCTTGTCTAAAAGCCACTGCTGGCTGAAAAATTTGTGAATTTGGGGTCATTTTAACACTTGAGACTTACTGGTGTGAACTTTGCCAAAAGTTTCCAGCCATTGCAAAAACAAATTCAACGATGAATTAAATCACACTCTGGATACAATTTTAAGCTTTCAGTCGATTACTTAACACAAAAAACGCAAAAGAAACCGGTCAAAGAACTTCAACTGTCAATTAGTCAATTACTTGGGCCAATGAACTATTCAAAGTGCATTTGACCTACGAACCCGTTTAAAAAAATCTACTTTCTAAAACTATCTAATCATGGTACTTGCGCCTGAAACGTTGATTTTTATTATTCGATGGTTTTATTCTAACCATATGGCAAAACCAAACAAGGAGTTGGTTGAATAAAATGTAGCAAAAGCTTTTGCTATAGCTTTGTCTCTTTCTTCCTTATAAAGTCTAAATTATGTCTATCTTTTACTATTACAAGTAGAAGCAGTGGTTAGAGTGGGGTATAAGCCAAAAGTACACACCCGGACGAGTCCAATCTTGAGAATAGGGAGGTTTTTAAAGTTGACATAAAGCAGTGCTGTGCAGATTGGCTTTATTCTTGTAATATTTGCAAAAAGACTGAAAAAAACATTTAAAGTTAAATAAAAATAAAATAATTTAAACTGGAATTATTTTATGGTTTCTGGTACAACTAAACTTTCGTTAAATTTTATCGTTTCAATAATTACTTCTGTAGCTTTGATCTGATTAATTTTTATATGTCTTAACAGAGGCGTTCTGTTCATCATTTTAAGAAATTTATTACAGTTGGAGACATGGCGTCGTTACAAATTTTTTTAAGAGGGGCAACCTCATCGCAGTTTAAAAATACATATTTTATTACAAACACAAAAACATGTTATACAAAATAGGAACATAAAACCATATTTTTTCTAACGGAAATTATAAATGAAACCATAAGACAGGAATCTCTAAAACTATAAATTGGAGTATAAAAGTGTAAAAGTTAAAAAAATATAAAAATTATAAAAGTTAAGCATAAAATAACACAAATCAGTAAATAACATGAACTAATAAATACTAAGAAAAATGTAACACTTGGAAGTGAAAACAGAATATAAAAACTCTTTCAAAATACATTCAAAAAAACAATAATAAAAAAATTAAAGAAATAACCAACCAAAATCGTCTAAGATAACAAAGTTAAAAAATGTTACTAAAAAAATGTGATAAAATAATGTCATATTTTAAAGCTAGTGATAAAATTAAACACATTTGACAACTAAAATGACATATCACAATGGTTGCTTTTCACAACAATAAGAAAAAAAATAGTTTACCGCTAACTGAATAAAACATATTCCGAAAAAATGTCCTAGAATAACTTCCAGGGGGGGGGGGGCACACGCCCCAGCTTGCCCTCTTCAAACGACGCCCATGGTTGGACACAATGTCACTTGAGTGACATTAAATTGTAAAGAATGCTTTAGGACTGTTAACTTTATTTTTAGCTACTGTCAATTATAGTTGACAAATTGTATGTACATATTTTTGATATAGAAAGATATAATAGCTGTCATTAATTTGAAATTGTCATTAATTTTAACGTTAAAGCTTGAGTTACATTAAAGTGTCAGAAAAGTGACGACCAAAGTATTTTGTCTCCAACTGTACCAAAAAAAAAGAAGAATATCTTTGGTGTTCTTATAAAAAAAAGTAAGGTTATGTTATCATAATTACTGAAATTGGACCCTGCACCGATTCAAGCTGAAATAAAATAAAAAACAAAACTCTGTAACACTGGTCATAATTGTCAAAGTGATAGTTTAAAAAGTGTGGTTAAAAAATTTCAACTGTAAATACGTTTTATCAAAAGTTATAATCGAGGCTTTAATTTAAATTAGTTTTGCACTTGTGGGGCTTTATAACTCACTTGTGTTAGGTTGTGTTGTTTTTTTATGATTTTTAAAATGACACATTTTTCACAGCAAAAATTCCGAAGTTTTGAAACACCGAAAATTATCTTTCACCAAGTGGTAAGTAAAAAAAAAAAAACACATAAAGTGTAAATAATGTTACGGACCTCAATTTCATTTAGCAAAATTACTTTGTTCCGCCACTGTTTATTTCTCCTCTCCGCCCAAGTGGGTATTTGTGGCTGTTACCCCATTCTATTTACATCTAGTTTAAAAGACCGACTCTAAACGTCAAAGTTGTCACTTCTGACAAACAACCTACTCGAAATGTCAAAGTTGTCACTTGTGACAACAAACAAAATATTGTTTAAGTGTTTTTTGTGTTAGAAATGGTGTAGGGAATCTAAAATATAATTTTAAATCTTATTTGTTAAAAAAATGTGTGGTTGTGAACAATTTCGTAGAATTGTGTAAACAATTGTGAGATTATTTTGACATAACCTCTAAATGCTTCCAAAAATGAATCCAGTTTACGATTACATTCAGCGAAATCGAGTGTTGGCAAAAATCGAAAAAGCTCAAGCAAGTAAAGCAACGAATTTAGCACTAGATGATTTTGATCTTGTCAAATTTCCCCCTTTATTGGTCACCTGTGTGCAACTTTCATATCTAAATATTGGCCATAATCAAATAACTGAACTGCCCAAATGTCTAGGACAGTTGAAAAACTTGCAGCATTTGTCGTTGGAATACAATAATTTTGATCGTTTCCCTGAAGTACTCAAGGATTTGCCCCAATTAGTCACACTAAACATAAGCCATAATCCGATAAAAGACTTAACAAGAGACATTGGGAATTTAACTTCGCTAGAAACACTATGGTGCAACCGTTGCTATCTTGGGTCACTACCTGAAGAGATTGGTAATTTAACAAAATTGGAAACTCTAGGAGCTCGTCATAATTTATTAACAAAACTACCAGAAGGAATCTGTAATTTAGTACAACTGAGGTAACTCTCCTCAAACCCAATCAAAAACTAATGACTCGTTTCAGGTGGCTTACTTTAGAAGATAATCAATTGTATACAGTTCCTAAGGATTTCGACAAGTTACAGTCTTTAATACATCTCAATTTGACTGAAAATAAATTCCATTATATCCCCTCAAATATATCGAAATTAAAACAGTTGAAATATCTCCACTTACGGTTTAACGAATTTTACTCAATTCCTGAAAGTGTACTCACCACCATGACTTGTGTCAAAATTAATCTGTTACATAATCCCTTGTCTTCTACTGGTGATATTGATGTGGTAATTTAATGGCATTTGATACGAAAAATCACTGAAAATTGTGTTTCAGATGTTCCCCAATGTGATAACATCAAATAAACAATTAGAGGATGAAACAGCCGTCGATTCTGACTCAAATTCCGATTGGGAAAATAGCGTTGCGAGTTCAGATTTAAACTATTCAGTTTCAGAGTCAGAAAGTGACGACGAAGATATTCTAATCGAAGTCTCAAAGTTGTCAAAATTTCTTGTAACATTTTGAGTTTCATTTTTTTTCATTACCATAAAGTATTACGAGATTATTTTTGAAATAAAAGTCGGACTGTAAAACATTTATTAACTACTTTGGGTGTGTTTTGTAAGTCCAAGCCCCGCATTCATTAGCGTGACTACTTCTATGTTTGATTAAATTCCCGATGCAGGAAAACCTAGAGCCACAACCCTCACATAAATGGGGCTTTATCCCCGTGTGGATGGTACTGTGTGTGATTAAACTTTCTCTATAAGCGAAGGCTTTGGGGCAATATAAACAAGCAAAAGGCTTCTCCCCTGTATGACTACGTTCGTGGATCTTCAATTGGCCTTTCCAGTGAAAACTCTTCGCACAGAATTTACACAAGAGTTTTTTTTCAGGATCGTGCACTCTCATGTGGTTGTTTCGTGTGTAAACACTCGAAAATTGTTTCTTGCAAATGGAGCATTCGTAAAAGGGGCCTTTATCGCAATTTCTCTCTTCGTGACATTTCAAGTATGATTTCTGTTTGAATTGTTTACCACACTTCTCACACACGTAAATGTAAGCTTTCCGCCCGACTCCTTTGTGGAAGACTTTCTGGTGGGAGCGTAAGGAGTCGCGATTGGCGAAGATTTTCTCACAGTCGTGACAAGCTGTAAAATTTTGTTATTGGTTGTTAAAAAACTTATTTTTTTAATTATGTTACTTAAAATATCAGCGTGGTGTGTTTGTTGATGAGTGAGATTTTCTTCTTTCGTGTAAAAGCTCATTTTGCAACAGCTGCATTTATGGAGAGGGATTCCTGATTGGTCAGCACCGATTGGAATGTTGTTTTCGTGTTCTTTGACATGTTTGTAGAACCAACGGACGTTCATGTATCTTTTACCACAGTATTTACAGTCACCGAAGCCTTCTTTGTCTAAGAAATACAGGGTGTGTCAAAACTCGAGCCCCAGAGAAAAGTTTCAGGTAAGATAAATTACCAGGAACATGGAATAAAGTGCAAGTTGCAGACGCACAAATTTGAAATTCCAAAACCACCAGTTAAGGAACAAATGAGTGCTTGAAGAACCTTCTGCAACAATTGCTTTATACTATTTTTTCTATTTTGCCGCTTTATATCATTTTATAAATTAAAAGACGAAAATTGTTTTTTTTATAGAGAATACATTCAGGGTGTTCCGTTTTTATTGTCACAAATTTAAACAGGTGATAGGTTATTCAATTCTAAGACAAAAGTTTTCTATAAACATATATCGAAAAATGCTTAGTAAGGGAGCTATACCCCTTGAAAGGGGGTAATAGGTTTTTGCTAATATTTCAGAAACCATTTAACATAAGATTACAAAATTTGGTACAGATGATAATCTTTATACACCTAAACGAATTCAAACATCAAATGTCGAAATTTCTAATCAGGGGCGTCCGAAACTGGTGGGGTTTAGGGTAAAAAAATACCCTATCTATTTTGGCTCTAGTTTCTTTAGTTATGCATTGAGCAAAATGGTGGTCACTTTGAACAACTCCTTTAGATTTAGGCAAATTCATTTAATTAATGTTATTATTGTTACTGTAATGTAATGTTAATTAGTTGAGGTTGATTAAAAAATATGAATTTCTTGCTTTTATTATTCTGTAAATTCTGATTTATTTAAATGTTGTATTGGTGTGTAACATAAATTTTAAATTAATTTTATTCAAAAACAATAAGAGAGACTTTTCTGTGATAAACTATCGAACTTAAGATTTTGTTGCTGAAAGTACCGAGAAACTAAAGCCAAAATAAATAGGGTATTTTTTACATTAAACTCCCCCAGTTTCGGACGCCCCTGATTAAAAATTTCGACATTTGATGTTTGAATTCGTTTAGGTGTATAAAGATCATCATCTGTACCAAATTTTGTAATTTTATCTTAAAATGGTTTCTGAAATATTAGCAAAAACCTATTAGCCCCCTTTCAGGGGGTGTAGCTCCCTTACCAAGCATTTTTCGATACATGTTTATAGGAAACTTTTGTCTTAGAATTGAATATCCTATCACCTGTTTAAATTTGTAACAATAAAAACGGAACACCCTGTATAATCATTTTTATATTAATGTGCATCGAAGTAGTCTTTGAAAGGGATCATTTTAGGGTGGCAACCATGCAAAAATTCAAATAATCCTAACCTCAATCTTCCCTAAAAACTATTTTTTCAAATAAATGTGTACCTCAGGTAGCAAAAAATAATTAAAATTAACAGAGTAACAAAGATTTTTGTGCTTATTGATGTGATTAAATTTGTTCTGAATAACATTTTTTTTGTGTGAATCGGCCTTTAAATTAAAGATGCATTTAGGCTTCTACAACCTACTTGATGCACATTAGTATGAAAAAGAGTATAATTCTTATTTTCACATTTGAAAATGAATTTGGACGAAAGTCCGTCACTAAAATTAAATTAAGCCAACGACTTATTAAAGCACTCAAATGACGTCATTTGGGTGCTGGAATAGACTTATTCTAAACGCAAAATAGAAAAAAAAATGTTTGAAAAATTCTGTCAAAAAAATTTGATAAAAAGAATCAAAGTGCAAAATTTAAACTCACATAACTTCGAAATTTTTATAGATAGAATTTTTAACATCTTTTCCATGTTCCTGGTATCTTACGAGATAATTGTAAAAAGTTATGATTTTGTACAGTTGTGGAATTAAAATTTTGGGCAGTATTGTCATTTTCATAATGCAAACTCTAAAACAACCTTTACATCAATAACCTTATTTTTTACTCTGTTTACTGTTTAATTGTCAAATGTCAGTCGCGATGACAGTAAAAGGTAGTTTACAGTAAACTTTTTAAAGTGACAGAAAAATACTGCCCGAAATTTTAATTCCGCATCTGTACATACCAAAATTTGTGTGTTCGATAAATTTCGATATTTCGTTTTCATAATTTGGATCTTTTTTCACATATCTTCTTTTTGTACACTTCAGTTCTTCATCTGAAGAGTCGATTTGGATCTCATTTGTGTTCTCCTGCGATGTTGTATTTTTTTCGTCGTCATTATCGGAGTTGTTCCCACATAAAGACTCTTGAGTTTCATTTATTTCTACACACTCTTGTAACTGGTCAAGGAGACTTTTCTCTGAATACTGAAAATTTGTATGGTTACTTTATTTTTTCCTAAGAAAATTGGGTAACTTAAAATAAGTCCTTAAATTAAAGCATTTTTCTTTTTTCTTTAAAAACAGTATAAAACCCGAAAAAATAGTATAAAAAACTCGTTAGAGAAAGCCATTCAAGCAAGATTTTTACTACTTTTTGACGTAACTGTCAATAAAAAGCAATAATTTTGGAAAAAAAAATTGCATTTACAGCTGTTTAACTTAAAAAGGAATTCGATGTAAGGAGGTTCGTGGAAAAATTACATTGATTTCTATTAGTAAATGCCCGGGATCAGCCAATCACTTCGACTTATCGAAATTTCGAGATATAGAGGTTCGATGTATCGAGGTTCCACTGTATTACCACCTTAAAAACATAGTTAACAAAAGAATAACGGAACTTTCTTCCTCTGTGTTTCACATATGATTTTTTCTAAGACCAAAGACAACTTCAAACAAGAAGTTTTTGAGATCTTGGGATTTCTTTGGAAATAAATTTATCAATCTTGTTATAACTTATAACACATATTTTTTAGTTTTCAGTTTTAGTTTTCGATTTTTCCTGAAAAGTAAAGAAAATCTTGGCATTTTTTTATTTTGTTAAAAAAATAGAAACTTTGTATCATCTATTATCTTAGATGGAAACTGGAATAGTAAAAAATTATGCTTTTGTTTAAATAATAGCTTTATCTTTTTTTTTTTTTTTTAAAAATAAATTTTCAGTAGTTATCTAATTATGACTATTAAAAAAAATATAAAATTGCTTTTGATATTTTTTTCGTTATAAAATTGTTACTACCTTAAAAATATAGTTAAGGGAAGAAAAAAAACTTTCTTACTCTGTGTTTCACATATATTTCTAAAGACTAAAGACAACTTCAAAGAAGAAAAAATTGTCTCTCTTCATTTTCTGTGTTTTTCTTTGTTATTTACTCTCGTTGGGATTTCTTTGGCAATAAATTTATGAATCCAATTATAACACAGATTTTCATGTTTTATGGCAGTGCTATCATCAAATAATAAAAAACTTTATATCTGCTTGGATGAAAACTGTGGAATAGTAAAGAATTATAACGGATGTTTATTTAAATTTGGCGTCATAAATCGTCTCAAATATCAAATTAATATTAATAAATTTATAATTAAATCTTCCAAAACATTTTATAAAACTATCAGAATGTGAAAATCAAAAACTTATAAAATTTTTCAGTTTAAATCTGACCGCCTTGGAGTCATATTTCATTGGTCGCTAAGAAAACGGAATGGGCGGGGCAAATAATCGCGGCTCCAGTATAAATAAGGTTTATCAATTTTTCAAAGCGTTTGAAAAACTTTAAAAGATTTATTTTAAAGAGCAATAAAAAGATTAAAAAATCCTATTTTTGTTAGACATTTAATGCCTTTTTCAAAAAAAAATCTACCACAACAGAAAAAATAAGCAGTAATACCTCTTCGTTACTCGCGTCTTTCTTGTCACTTTCAGTCTTTCTACATAGTTCAGTCTTCAAAATACTTAGTTCCCTTTGTACTTCAACGTCCGTTTGTCGCATTTTCAGTCTTGAGTTCGAAGGTGTGTTTATTTTAACTTTGATTTTGGTCGCCGGATGTTTAACTCTGTGTGTAGTTAATGGCACAAGTCCACAAGTATCAGCATGAGTCTTTCTATGTTTGATTAAATTCCCCACACAACTGAACGAATTTCCACAATTCTCACACTGATACGGTTTGATTCCTGTGTGAATCGTACTGTGAGTTATCAGACTCTGTCGGTGACAAAAGCCCTTATTACACACCTGTAATTATTCATTATTAAATAGTATATTAAAGAACAAGTTTTATAAGGGTTGATTAGGCGCACGAATCCCAAGTTACAAAACGAGCGCCAATGCGAGTATTTTATTCTATTTTTTCTAATTTGCGCCCCCTTTTTTCTTATTTTAATTAAAAAAATATATATTTTTGTCGTCTAGAGAATTTTGTGTTAGTTGGTATCGGTTGGTAACACTCGGCGCCCACCTGATTTTTTGAATTATTTCTGTCGTCTGTCATTGAAAATAAAATTTACAAATTATTAGTTGTTAGTGTTACAACATAATAATAATAAATAAAATATGAGAAACAGAATTTAGTTTGCACTACGCCCGAAATTCGCGAAATTGCAACAACGCAAATTTGTCACCTAACAAGTCAGAAGCGGCGTAGAAAAACTAAATAACCCTAAATTCATTAAAGTACAGACAAACGTATTATAAACGCAAATTAGAAAAATTATTTTTTGGGTGTGATACGCACTTCGCAAACATAGGCTTTGTCTTGAGTGTGGATTCGTTCGTGCACTTTGAGTTGTCCTGCAGTAAAAAATAATTTGGCACAAAATCTGCACATGAAACTTCTTACACCATTGTGACGCAACATGTGATTGTATAATGAGCCAGCAGACATCAATTCTTGGCTACAAATCTAATTAATTGCATGAAATAATTGACCAATTAAAATCGGTTATTCTTACTTTGCATTTGAATTGTTTTATTGTTCCACATTTGGAATTCATGTGGTGAGTGAGTTCGTTTTTGGTTTTGTATTGTTTACCACAAACATTGCACATGAAACAGTTATTTTTACAATTGTGGATCCTCTCAATGTGGGACAAATATTCACTTAAATCTTCGAATATTGAGGGGCAAAATTTGCAAGTCTGGATACTCTCGTTTTTTGTGTTATTAAATTCGGCGGTTTCGTTGTGCATTATTATCTAAAAATTTATTAATAATAATTTATTGGAAATTAATTTCCTTACCTTTGTGCTAATTATTAGTGAAAATTAATTTGAATTTCGATTCGTGTTACACTTTTGTTCAAAACGAAGTAAATGTTTACTCTACACTGCTAAATACTTCAGGGCGGCCATTTTACTGGTTGCTTGGGAGTTTTGATGAGGTGTGGTTGGCAGTGCGAACAGCGGTTCTTTTAAAAATAAAAGCCAGTTTTGGTAAAAATAAACTTGTATTAAAAGTAAATTATACAAAATTAAAAAATGAAAACAATTTCTACCTAAACTATTGTGTACTCTAGTTTGCTCTATTCATATAAATAACATGAAGTACAAAGTAATGTTAATAAAATTTGTGTTTCATCTATAATACTTATAAATACGCTAAATATGCAATATAATAATTACAACCTACTTACAAATATTGGAATTACTTGACTAGTTTCTAGTCAGTTTTGCTTTATTTTTATGTACAACATAATTCAGCGTACATATTTGGTAACTTCATATACTGAATAGTGTATACGACATATTCGAACAAAATCACAACACTGGGTAAAACAGATGGCAATGTTAAAGAAAATTTACCTAACAATTGTTAGTAGTGCTCATAAACAATATTATAAATAACAATAATTATTTCACAACCAAATAGTTTAAATGAAACTTTTATTACAGTCACCTATAGTACGACGTCAAGCGTGGATGGAGAAGTGTTAAGTTAAAAATCACAAATTTTGCATTACACTTAAGTACACTGGGGAAGGCCTCTAAATTCACAAAAGGCATGACGGTGAACATGAGGTATTGGAAAATTTAACAAAATGTACGTTTTTCTACCGGCCCATTTCATAATCGAATTAAAGGTTATGAAATTGGCCCTAAGCATTTGAGATCGTTCCTTAAGAGAATAGTAGAGAGGAATGTGATGATAAATTAAAGTTTGTATAAAATATTATAAATATCAGATATTACTTTGATGTTTTAGGAAGGTGTCGTTTCATGTGTAAGGCAAGATGATCCGATCGAGCAAACGATCTTTCACAAACCGCACATTTAAATGGTTTTGCTCCTGTGTGCTTTCGATAATGTCTTGTAAGTTCATCCGATCTGGCGAATCGCCATTCACATTCAGGCCACTGACACTGGTACGGTTTTTCTCCTGAAAATAAATGTGAAATATAAGTATTTTTTCTTTTTATTTGGGTATACAGGATGCGCCAGAACTCGCGCACAAGAGGAACATGGAAAAAATATTAAAAAAATTCAATCAATAAAATTTCGAAGTTATTGTCAAAATTTTTGTACCTTTATAAAAAAAAACAAATACAAGATCATCAGTATCATTAAATAGACACAAATTATAATAATTAGACAAATGTCAAAAATTTTTTAAGCATTCGTTCCATATTCCTGGTATCTTGTCTTACTTGAAATTTTCCTTTGGGGCGCAAGTTCTGACATTTAATAGTCAAAATTCTCAAAATTAGAATTTGTTTGTAGTGAAGCAAGAAAATGAATAAAATTAAACAAACCTGTGTGAATCCTTTGATGTGCTTTCAGATGTGAGCTCTTTGTGTAGACTTTTGTACAACCTGAAAAAATACAATAATAAAAAATTATAATTTGATTATTTAAAAAAAAAGGATAAAAACTTTTGAACGTTTCATTACACAAATTGAAATAATGAATGATGATATTCTTATGAATGTTAAAAAGTATTCAGAATGCATTTAAAAAGTTTTTAGTTTACTCATACTTTGATAATTTATTTCATTTTTGACCTTGTTATCGCCTAGATATTTCATTATTATTCCAGATACACATTTTTTTTTCAGATTATTGGTATCTGAAAGAGAAAACTCTTAGTCAAACCAAAACAAAGATCTTATAATCAAGGATTTTAATAGATGCTATTTTATATAAAAAATAAATTATAATGACATTAATAATTAATAAATAACCAAAAATAGCTTTAAATTAAGAAAAAATCCATTTTTTCTTTTTTTTTAATACCGGTTGCCTTTTTTTTCTTTACGCAATGTAACTCTTAAATACATAATATAAGAATTTGAATTAACAAATTTGGAAAACAGGTTATTTATCATCATAGAATATTTTTGTTTAAATTCATCTTTTGCAATTTTTATCATCATTAAATAAGTTTAATAAATAAAATATTATGTTATTAAGAGTCAAAGAGATAGTTTATGTGGAGAAGCTGAACGTTTATTTCGCCAAACGTAGTGAGGCAAATAATTCAGCTAAGCCTTATAACTCACTTTTACTCCGAATAACATACTATTTTATTCGCAAACGTATTTAAATCGAGAGTAGACAGCAACACCTAATTAGTAAGTAAATATACAAAATAATCAGGACGCTTTGCAAGTAATGGAATCATAACAACACTTTTAAACAAACATCACGCGTCAGTTTCGGAATTTGTGTTGAGATTTTCGAAAGTGTTTATTAATGATTAGTGCAGTTAGTAGTTAAAATGTAGAATGCTGACGATCTATAATGACCTCTCCAGAATTTGCTAAAAAGAGCCAATAAAACATTGGTAAATGTTAATATAATAATTTTATGGTAAAAAAACGCTTAGGCGAAAAAACTGAATTTTTACTCCATGTCTGAAAGGTAAAACTTTTACTTGTGATATTTAGTAATAAAAGTGGCCACTGTCGTGACGTTTGCGGATAAATTATTATTATTATTATATAAAGTACGCAGATAAAAATAAAAATTACTTGTAAATAATAAATCAGTTTTAATAAAGTATGATTGTACTTTTTATAATTAACAAAAAAATCATATCTCTTCCTTCTTATTTCCTCAAAATTTTAGTAATGTTCCAATTAATTTCTGAGAAATTGTACCATTGCGTCCAAAAAGAGGCATAAAATTTTTCACACTTTTCGAAAATTCATTCTAGGCATTTTACAATTTGACATTTAAAATAAATAGTTTCACTTTTCAAAACCTTCATAAAGGAACATCAGCAGCAACTACATTAGTGACATTAAGTTAAAAGTGAGGTTGCAATCTAGGGGTCGCGTTTTACATTTTTAATAACATTGTTTTAGAAATAAGACGTTTTTTTTGCCAAAAACATGCACTTTTTAAAAATTTATTACACAAAAACTAAGACAGCTAGAACAATTTTTTCCTTACTTCTCAAAGAAGAAGTACAGAATTTAAAGCAGTAGTATTTTTTTAGTATTTTGCTTTTGAAAAGTTAAAAAATGAAGAAGTTTGTTAAAAGTTAAATAACTAAAAAATTGAAGTGGAACACCCTATTTTTTATTTTTGCATCTAATAGATTGATAAATTGTCTATCTAAAAAATAAACTTTTAATATCTAGAAGTAATAAATGAAAAGATATTTAACATTCAGTATTAATTGGAGCAACAATGATTACTATACTATAATACTATAAAATACTATACTATGCATCTATAAGTTCCACCACGGATCACTTACCCGTTGATTTATCCTGAGATTGTAAAAATCGTTATAAATACTGAAATTTGAATTATTTTATTGTAAAAATAAAGAATAATGTATTCAGTTTAACACAGATGTGATTATTAAGTAATATTTCATCTCTCTCTTGTGCAATTGTGCACTTTCTGGCTACTGAAACAATAGCAATTATTTTTTTATGTTCAACGTTAAATATCTTTTTAGTAATTGAAAATATAAACACCTAAAAGTAAATATTTTTAGAAATACAATTTATTAATTTTTTAAATGCAAAAATAATAAATACGGTATTCCATTAAAATTGTTTAAGTTATTGAACTTTTTACAAACACCTTAATTTTTTTATGTTTGCAAATGCAACACGCTAAAAAATGTTACAACCTTTTAACTTGTACCTTCTTCTTTGCGATAGTAAAAAAAAATATTTCTAGATGTCTTAGTTTTTGTGTAATAAATTTTTCAAAAATTGCATGTTTTCGTCAAAAAACCGTCTACATCCAAAAACGCTAAGAAACGTATGGTGTTTCATTAAAAAAAACACAAGTTTGTATCGTAACTTATTCTTGAGACACGCTGTATACCTTATTGAAAATAATTTTAGGCGATAGACTAAGTATTTTTTTATTTTGTTATTTAAGAAAAATCAAATTCAAAAATCATTATTTACATATTTTTGACTTACTGAAGGTAAATTTTACTACTCTTCCGTTTTTCGCTTTTTTTGCAAAAAGTCTTAATTGGTTTAATTAATAGGTTTGCTAAATATTCTTTTTAGCAAGAAATTGACCTGAATACATATGAATGAGAAAAAACCCAGTGAAATTAGGCGCTACCAACTTTTTCAACCAAAATTTTCACTTGTGATTTCCGTTAAAAAAAACAGACTTTATGTTCTTTATTCAGTTATTTGTTTGTAAGTGGAAAAAATCAAATATTTACTGTGTCTGTGTTCAATTTCCATAAGCAAATAAAACTCAATATACACCGTACCACCCACATACGATGTTCACAATTGAACGTAGTATAATTTGCACAAACAAATAACTGCACACTCTTCATTTGCATGACGCTGTATTCAGAGTAAATATAACCTAACATTACCTAAGAAATCGCAATGGTGTATCCGTCTTTTCTCCAGTTCGGGATTGTTCCTCCTGTTGTATTTCGCAGTGGAAGAAGTAATTCGGTTGATGGTAGGCTGTGGTGTCTGCTGTTGGCATCCAGGGGCAGGATATGGGGGTGGTGGTGTACGCCGTGGCAGCGTTCCCCCAGGAGAACCCGGTTCTGAACTGGGGGGTGTCAACGGCGACACATACATTAACCTAGATATGGGGGGGTAGAGAGCATTGCCAGGGGCGGGACTCGGCGCCACTGCATTGTTGTATTTATACTGCGAGTGGGTGTTATTGTTATTGTTGTTATTGTTATTGTTGTTGTGGTGCAACGTCTGCTGGTGGTAATGGGGAGTTTGTTGCGGACTAGTGGGCTGCGCTTGGTTGTAAGGGCTCGTGGGGGTGCCCATCAGATGGAGGGTGGGAGTGGACTGTTGCAACACCTGGGGAAAATTCGCAATTATGTCGTTTTCGTATTACACACGGCAAATGCACTAAAAAAAATTCAAAAAGTCCACATACTTTGAACTAAAAATTTTTTCTAATTTAAATAATTTAAATAACTATTAGGCCGATTTCCTTCAACCATTCTAAAGGGATGGACTTGCCCTTTAGAATGATATGCAATTTGAAATTGAAGTTCGAAGTTAATCGAAGTAATCTAAGAAGAACCCTACGAGTAATTTTTTTTTCTTCGTCACCATCGTGTAGAGCATCTTTTTATTAGAAAGAATCCAAATTTTTAAAATAATATACCGAGTAGTTTTCAAGATATGATTTTTTGAAGTTCAGGTTTGCTATTCAGATATTGCGCCATATAGGAGAGATGCATGTTAATCTTACTTAAAATTGCATTTTTATAAAAGTATTTGTTTTAAGATTCTTCTTTTGCTTAAAAATGGTGAATTGCACTTTCTTTGTTCTAATTAGAATAAACAAAAACTGTTTGTTTACTTAAAACAAAAAAATAGTACCTGCGTACTAATTAAAGCAAATAAAGAGTTTTTTTTTGTTCTAAAAATGATCACTGATCATTGGCAAAAAGTATCTAGAAGTTTAAAGCAGTAGCTTTAAATATAAGAACAAATCTTTTTCAAATTAAATCACTTTCCATTCAGATTCAAACTTGTTCACTTTGTTGTAGCTTTCTGAACTGTTTTTTGAAAATGTTTTCAGCAAATGCTTTCTCATCACTTTCTACTGATGCTTTTCCAGTTTTTCCATGATCCTCAAAATTATTATTACACAGGGTGACAAAAAAAAGTCATGTCGTGACAACTTGACAAATTATATTGTGAGACAAATCAAATGCACTAAAAAAAATTAAAAAGTCCACACACTTCGAATTAAATATTTTTTTCTAATTTAAATGAAATGAAAATACTTTAACTTTAAAAAATCATTACTCAATAACTATTAGGCCGATTTCCTTTAAATAAAGACCATTCCAAAGGGATGGACTTGCCCTTTAGAATGATATGCAATTTGAAATTGAATATTGGCAAACTTTTCTTCGAACAGTGTTCGAAGAAGTTCCAAGTAAATCGAAATAATCTAAGAAAAACCCTACGAGTATTTTTTTTCATTATTACCATCGTGTAGAGCATCTCTTTATTAGTTGTAATCTAAATTTTCAAAAGAATATACCTAGTAGTTTTCAAGATATGATTTTTTGAAGGAGAGTCTTAAAACAAATACTTTTATAAAAATGCAATTTTAAGTAAGATTAACATGCATTTTTCCTATATGGAGCAATGCTTGATTAGCAAACCTTAACTTGAAAACTACTCGGTATATTCTTGTGAAAATTTGGATTACAACTAATAAAGAGATGCGCTACACGATGGTAATGATGAAAAAAAAATTTACTCGTAGGGTTTTTCTTAGATTATTTCGATTTACTTCGAACTTCTTCGAACACTGTTCGAAGAAAAGTTTGCCAATATTGAATTTCAAATTTTATATCATTCTAAAGGGCAAGGTCATCCCTTTAGAATGGTCTTTATTTGAAGGAAATCCGCCTAATAGTTATTGAGTAATGATTTTTTAAACTTAAAGTATTTTAAATTCATTTAACCCATTAATGCCCACCGATTTTCTAGAAAAGTTAAAAATATAAAATGTGTTAAAATGGCATTAAGGTGTGTTAAGTATACTTTTAAAACGTTTTTAATTTTAATGTTTTTATTTTGGGAAAAAATATGTGTACCTGATATAAATAAATATATTACTAATTAGTAATCACAAAAAACAAAAAAGTATAAAATTTTATTGGTTCATTTGATTTGAAGAATGAAATATTTTGAAGCAATCCCCCGCTTATCTCATATAAATTCAAAAATACAGAAACACGCGCCAATTTTTACAATTATTATTTCGAACTCACCACGAAAAACTATAAACCCATAACACTAATCAAAACAGTAAACTTCACTTAATATTTGAACAACACAAAATTTCACCAATTGCTTGTTAAATATCGACACAATTGCATTAATTTTGGTGTACTCAAGCAGGTACAGTGGTCAATAATGGGTTAAATTAGAAAAAAATTATTAGTTCAAAGTGTGTGGGCTTTTTGAAATTTTTTAGTGCATTTGATTTGTCTCACTGAGACGAACAAAATGATATATAATTTGTCAAGTTGTCACGACATGACAATTTTTTTTACTATACCTTTTCTGTTTTGATTTCTAAGGGGGAGAGAAGGGGGGACGGCGTTGGAGGACAACTGGCAGTTAATTCATCGACGGCTTCTAATTTCACGTGACTTGGGCTTACTCCTAACATATTGGCATTTTCTGGGTCTATGTTTTGTATGCTACTGGCTATGTCTTCCCAAAGAGGTGGCCGAAGAAAAACGTCATCGTCAGTTCCAGGGAGAGTTCGCATCGAAACGTAACTCATTGTGGGTTGATGACGATTGTGGGTAGGTTCGAAAAAATCATCGATTTGAGATGCTGAGTCTCGTCGAGGTTTTTCTAGTTCTTCTTCCAGACGACGTTCCCACTCCTGCTTGCACAGGAATGTGTCCAAGTCACTAGTCTGGAAAGAAAAAATTATATAAATTAGACGATAAGTTATTCATTAAAAACATATCTACTAAAGAATGATAAAAGTAAATAGAAACTGGAAATGATAAAAAATGAACACGTGTATAAATTATTGTTTTATTTATACACTCTAGATTATGAATAGTAAGTCGACTTTTAAAAAGTCTATATCTAATTTTTGTAACACACGTGTATACACACGACTATCATTTATAAAGGCACTGTAGATGAATACGCAGGGTGAATAGAGACAAATTACGAACAATTCACCCTCTCATCTTGAAAAATTCTTTACAATTGTGTGTCCCAATTTTCACAGAACGAGTGGTTTAGTGTGAATTTTTTAGAACTTTTGCTTCAATAACAAAAAACTATTATTTTTTATTGTTGACCAGTCATTGTGTGTTCTCTTTTAATTGCTACGAATTTAAACATGTGATAAAATATTCAATTTTAAGACAAAAGAAAAAAAACACACCCTGAAGGGGTGTATGTTCATAGGAAACTTTGGTTTGAAAATTGAACACCCTGTACATTTATTATTCTAAATTATTCTAAGCTATACAATTAAAAAGTATTCTTTTAGTGAAATTCTATTACGTAAATTTTGGCTGTTTGCAACTCTGAAATCGGATGTGGTTTTACTTGAAGTAACAAATTGTTAAATTGAATTTAGAATCCGAAGTTTCAAAAGATACTATTAGTGTTGCCAACTCAGTCATTTTAGAGCAATGAAATAAAAAAAAATGCTTGTTACATAACGGTGAGCAAAACTCAAATAAAAAATATAGACAGATAGAGTATTAAATTCTGAATAATAAGAGATAAAGGTAATGAAAAATTTTTATTAAAAACTATATTTAAAAAAAATTCAAACATTTAGCAATTTGCGCTCCGTCTCATTTTTTTGAAAATGCTGCGAATACGGTTAAAGGTACAAGAAAAATATAAAAAAGAAAGTTGTAGAGAATAAATTTTCAAGAAAAAAGTCCTTTATCTTCAATGGTTTAGGTCCTAAAGATGCTCAAGTGACGAATATGTCATTTTTACCGGAGGTCAAGAGACAAAAAATTAATTTAAACCTAAACGGTTGAAGATAGAGATATGGTTTCGGACTTTTTTGCAGCAAATTTAATTCTCTACAACTTCGTTTCCAACACTTTTTTGTATCTTCAACCCTATTCGCAGCATTTTCAAAAATATCGAAAATAGTATTAAAAATAAATTATAAACAATTAGTAGTTTGCATTCTGCCCAATATTTGCTGCGAGTACGGTTAAAAATACAAAAAAAGTGTAAGAAACACAAAATTGTAGAGAATAAAATTTGCTACAAAAAGTCTATGAAACGAATCCGTTGCTTGGGCGGTTTTGAATGGCTTTGAAGCCCAAACCTTTAAAGAGGTCTCGCGGACTTTTTCCTAGAAAATTGTATTCTCTACAACTTTCTTCCTTACATTTTTCTTGTATCTTCAACCGTATTCGCAGCATTTTGAAAAAACATGAAACGGAGTACAGGTTTTAAATATTTTTTTTCTAATATTTCTCGTAAAAAATTTAGTCGTTCGTTTTTCACAGCTTATTAACAATGTAAAACTAAAACATTTTTGCATTTTTTTTTCAAGCAGTTAGTAGACTGCTTGAATTTAAATTGATTTGTTGTTAATTAAACTTTTTTCACTATGATTTTTCCTCTGTAGGTATATTATGTAATTTTGATGTCATAAATTATGGTAAAATCGTAAAATTCTTCCCCGAAAGTGGGTGATGGTTTTTCAGTTATTAGGGTTTTGGGTCCTTTTGAGTCAGATATTTATTAATTTTTAGTACCAATTAGACTAAAATTCCCGATAAATAATATAAAAATAGTTTATATTCAAATTTAAACAATTTTTTCAATTAGAGTTTTTGCAGATTGTTTTTGTTATCAGTCGACGTAAAAACAGACAAAAAGAGTTGTTTATCATTTTATTTCAGAAATTCCTGATTTGAATATTATTTCTACAATTTTTTTAGAAACACATTTCAAAAACACGATGAAAAGTGAATGGATCAAAACATTTTGTGGTTGCGACCAGTACTGAGTTACAAAATCGTGATAATTTCAAATGAGGTAACAATTTGAATCTGATGAATTTAATTCTATCATTATGGTTATTTTGAGGGAGCGGACCCCCGTTCTATAAAATAGCTTGGCCACTAAAGGTCTATTAACACGATACTTTCCCCTGCAATTGATGACCTTATTTTTTCGTCGACCATGATATTACTATTCACCAAATGAAGAGAATGTGCGTTTATTACATTTCCCCCCAAAAGGGAGTAAAGTGACGCTTTATTTCCTTATTTTCGACTGATTATCTGATACTTTATTCCCTAGGGAAACTATAAATGAAATACCGATGTTTAGTACTCTTAAAATTGTAATAGAATGAACTAATGTCAAATTATTTGAAAAATTTTTCTTCATTTAGTTTGTTGGGAAATTGATTGAAATTGAAATAGTTTTTTATTCCTTTGATACATAAATAACTATTATTGAGATGGAAAAAATGCAACTGTGATTTTTGAGTGACAAAACTCAGCGGGATGTATCCAGACATGGCTTTCCCCTTGTTATAATTACCATACAATATGCCAGGAGGTGATGCTCTCCTGGTGCGAAGTCTTGTGTTTTTGATACATATGATGAATACATGTTATTACATATAATAGATTTTTGAACATCGTGATGAATGTCAAATTAATCATCTATCAATTCAAGTCATTGTTTAAAATCTCGGATGTAATAAGTCTGAGTCTAGGTACTTCTCAATTATAAAAAGGATGGGGACTGGCAATGCGTGAAATGGGCCAATTCCGGGTGGGCAAATGAAAAGGAATTGTTATAGATTTTGCTTACAAAGCGAATTCGACAATGAATCATCATTTTTATTCTTTGGAAGGTTTCTCCTAATTTGATATTGTAATCTCAAACTTACGAAATTTGTACTTTTGTACTTTACTCAAACTGAAAGTAATTATTTTCCGTGTTCAATAGACAAATGGTTCATTGAAGATATTCTTGCTTCGCTTCGCATTAGATAAAAGAAAAATTGTCATTTTAGTTGTAATAAGATATTGTTTATCCCGTTTTATTGAGATTGAAAAGCTTATAAGCCACTCATATTTGCTTTTGTAATTTTTTGAGGTCACATGGTTTTGAAAATATGAATATTTAAAGTTAGCACAAATTGGCAACCTTGCTGTAGGTTTTGATCCATCTTGTAACGTTTGTTACTAAAATTGTGCCGTTGCCAATTTTACCTTTTCAGAAAATCTCTACATCTGAAAGAGTAACGATTTTATTTATTTTTATGTTTCCTTTCCTAATTAATAGAAAATTAATATTAAAGTTGTATTTTTGAAGAGTTATACCTACCTAAAAAAGTTGGGACAACATTTTTGTTTGCAATTTTAAGAGTATACTCGTTTTCAATGTGCATCGAAGTAGTCGTTGAAAGAGATCATTTTAAGGTGGCAATCATGTAAAAATTCAAACAATCCTAACCTCAATCATCCCTAAYAATTATTTCTTCAAATAAATGTGTACCCCAGGTGCAAAAAATAATGAAAATTAACAAGGTAATTAGCAAACGTAAAGATTTTTGTCATTATTGATGACTGAATGACATTAATTGACACTTTTTGTGTGAAACGGCCTTTAAATTAAAGATGCATTTAGACTTAACAACCTACTTGATGCACATTAATATAAAAAAGATTATAATTGTATGGTTCTAAAAACCACCCGAGTAATTCAGTAATTGCACGGTCCTTTTGAATCACGCTGTATATTAGTCCTATTTTTACTTATTTACAATTAATGTTTTGGCTTTATACAGGATGAAGCATTTGTTTTTCTAAACAATTTTTTAAAATTTCGCCGGTTTTTATATTCGGATTTAAGATTACAATTTTAATTTGAAAAAAAAGTAAACTGCATCGGCCGGGAATCGAACCCGGGCCGCCCGCGTGGCAGGCGAGCATTCTACCACTGAACCACCGATGCTTGTTTCTAACTTTTTAACGGAGAGAACATCACTGTTACGCCGACACCATTATTTTCTTATTAATACACACAATTTTTTTATTCATATAAACCACAATATTATTATGACTACTTGTAATGACTTTTTTTCGAAAATAAACATGTTCTATATTTACCTAGAAAACGATTGTTTTTTTTCATAAAAATAATGAAGAGATCTAAACTTTTGAGACTACCAATTATAAAAATTTTACCAAAGATAAACGCCTGAGGGCGTGAAACTTGTTTCAGATAAGGAAGTGTTTAAAATAAGTTATAGGAACTGATGTTCCTCGTGTTTAATTTTTGTAATAGAAAAATAACTTAGAAGGAAAAGATTAATAAATTAAAGAAAATCATACGTTAAATAGGTAAGTAGTAATAATTATGGTACTAAAATCAACGGTGCTAGTAAATGCCATACTTAAAAGTGATATATTGACAACTACTTCTATTCTATATTTTTCATATACCGTCAGACAACAGTTTTTAGTGCATAATTATTGTCAAACTAATAATATTTTAGACAACAAACATAAAAACTCATTATTTGATTGTCTAATATAAGTATGTCAAATTGTTAAGAAATGACAATGTCTTAGTCATAGCAATAAAAACTTTAGACTCTTGGTGTCTGGTAAAAACAGAAGTTTTAAAACTTTAATGAATAAATTAATTTTGTCATAATTATACAGTGAATAAATTATTATTAGGCTGGCTGGGGCTTATTCTTTGCTATTTACTTTATTATTTTTTTTGGGCTTGTTTTCTGGTACTTACCATTTAACTTTGGTTAAATTTTATCTGTAATATCATAAGTGGTAAAATTTTGTCGGCAAAATTTTCAGTTTGTACGAGAGTTTGTTGCATAGCAATTTATCGAGTGACATTGTTAGAAAAACCTCGAGTCGCAGACGAGAGGTT